GGATATCTCATTCTTCAACACAAAATAAGTGTGTGTGTCTTCCAACTCACCATGACAGAAAGAACAATGATCAAGATAATCTGAAGTACTCCACATAAGGTTTTAAGATGAAGCTATAGTTTATAGTTTTCCTTATTTTAACATTCAAAAAAAAACCTTTTTCCTTTAGTCTCTCATCTTCATCTTCTGTGCTTTTTGATTGGAGTCCACTAAACTGAGGTAGCTGTGAAGATGGGGCCTTAAATTGTGCGATAGCAAGACCTTCTGTTTTAACAGAAATTTGGCAGCTTTCATAAATGAACAAAATGTTACACTTTCCAAACACAAAGTTCATTAATTTCAATTTTTCATTTTGAAAAAGTTGAGGTAGATTGGTTTAAAAAAATGCTGGAAATGACACTACAGTCATGAAAGAGCAACTAATAGCCTACGAACCTCAAAGCTCTGGCTCCCTGAACTAGTTGCGCTCATGTTCAGGGAAGTACCTTGTATATCTCAGGAAGTTCTGTTGGAAATGTGCTGGCTCTGGCTATCAAGAATAAGGAAATTCCTCATTGGAAAGACTGTGTTTACAAAGTTTTACTTATAAACATTTTCTTCAAAGAATTTCATTCAACTATCTGTCATGTGAAGCAAAAGGAATGCTTTTAAGGAGCTATTTGTAAAGATAAAATTTTAAAGATTTTTACTCTTTCAAGAGTGTAAGAATTTGTGTAATTGAAGACTACCTGACTAGCTGATAAATCACACATAAGACTCCTTTTCTTCCCCTCCAAACCAGTGCCATAGAGCTTTCTTTTGTTGTGGTTGGGATTTGTAAATACTAAAGATACACAACAACTATTACTAAAAGTGTGGCTCAGATTTCAGTTTGGAGAACGTTTAGGAGAAGCCCTAAATATAATCTCATGTTCTCAAAGTCTGTGCATTAATTGAAAAACACAGACATGTGATACCTGCCTATTGTCCTTACTAGACAGAAGCTAGAATTGTAGCTATACAGCTGGCAGTGCACAACAAAAAAGCCGGATAATTATGTGAGCAAATGAAAAGCCATGAGGATCTCAAATGGTTGAGGGGCAATAATCTATGAAGGTAACATGCATTCAAAAATATTTAGGAGAATAATAGCATACCCAGATGATTTCTGTGTATTTGCTTAACTACATGATTCCATAGCAATTCCTTCTAAACTGATAATTAACAGCATCCTCCAGTAATGTACATGTCAGTACCATGAAAGAATGATGGCATGCAAGCAAGGTGACAAGTACAGAACTATTCTTGTACACCCTTCCACACTTCACTACACGCAGACCTTCGACAGTGGCAAACAGAGGGGAGAAAGTGAAAGAGCAGAGCTGAAAATAGCTAAATACCCAGGTAAAACAGGAATCCCCAAATAATTATTATTATTATTTTTTTAATCTCTACGATCATCAAACCAAATCGTTAAAAAATTGGAAGTATGGCTCCAAAAATGATAAGGCAATCTTTAAAAAAAAATGGACTACTTAAAGTTATCATAGATTCTTACAGAAAAGAGATGGAGTTCCAATTCAAATGGTTTTCTCGGCAGACATGAAAGCTGGAAATCAACTTTAATGTTTCAGGAAAGCTGAGACTCTCATGCCCATGGGAAAACTTAGAACGCTACCGATGACAAGTAATAAGTGCTGTCAACAGTGAATCTGATGCAGTGATTTGAACATTTTTATATGCAAAAATAAATAACATTACTAGTTTTAATAAAATTAAAATTAGTAATAAAATTACTGGATTTCACCTATAGAAAAGAAAACCTAACCTGAACATAGGCACTTTATAGCCTTGTTATTAAATGAAGAGGAACAAACGGAGAATGTGTGCTGAAAAGCACCTGTTATTCTGCAGGCTACAGGATGTGATTGGAAATCAGAGCAGTTAATGCGATACACTGCGTAAGAGGGAGCACGACAGCCAATTGCTCTGCTCAGTAGCCAACCTTAATGTTGTACTCCTAATACAAACAATGACTTCAAAGGAGAAATAATGAAATGATGGCAGAAATGATTAGATCTGTATTACCTCAACAAAAAAACTAAAAAACTAGAAAACAAACACAAAAAAGCAATGTTCTCTTAGTATAAGAATATATTTGAATGAAGGAATCAATCCTTTTTTTCAAAAAAAAAAAATTGATAATTTTATTTATTTTTTTACAAAACCTACTCAAATGAAGCAGAAACCTGAAAACTAAACTAAGACTTGGATAGGCTGCATAAAACATTTGCCAACTATAACTAAGGAAGTTGCTGAACTACAAAAGAGTATTTTTCAATATGTTGCTGAATTACTGGGCTATTGGGGAATGTGGTATTTATGGAGGACTTTGCTTCCATTGGGATATAATTGGATCTAACAGTCACTGTAATTAACTTCATTAATTATTTTTTGGTCACAGAAAAATGTTATCTGTTGCTGGTTCCAGGAAAGTTTCACTGAATTTTAAAAGAAAAATAAGGTAACTTGTCCTGGGTCTATGTTGGGGAAAAAATACATACACATAAATTACCAAATTCAAGCAGCAAACAGAAAATACCCCCACAACCAGTTGTTTTCCAAAATAACTAGAGCTCTATTAATAAAGCATGAGCTAATATGTCATTGCTCTAAAAAGCAACATATTGTACCATTTTTAAGGGAAGGTTCAGATTTTAATCTAGGCATCAGTCACCACACCATATCAGCTACAGAAGTGCTTCCACCCAGTTGTGGAGGGCGCAGCCCAATACCAATGTGTTTATCTACACAAGAAAAATTGGCAGGGTCCTGGTGTGAAGGCTAGTGTGACACATCCCTAATCATCTTAATTACTTTAGTTTTAAAATGCTATTAAGTGCAGTACAGCTATAGAGCATGGTATTTGCCAAGCACATTTAATTAATCTACTGATTTATAATTTTGCATCACCTGCTAGCTTTTAATAGGCGGGTTAATAGTCTGTACCGCAGTTAGTGACTGGTAACTACACTACAGGCACAGTTAAGGTCTTGACCCTGCATGTTTGAAATGAGGGCAAGCTTTTTAATACCTTTAACAGGGGCAGCAGCAGTAGAGACTGAACCCCCTTTCCTCTCAAACAGTATTTCTGTCACCCTCTTGCTCTTTCCAAGATGCATAGCAAAACCTTATATACCAGCTTCAATTTCAAGGATTTATTTATTTATTTTTTCTAAATCTGAAACCCACTGTCACCTCTATTAAGCCTTTGTGAAATGCAATGTAAGATACACCAGTGGAACTGCCTCTGCATCAAAAACTTTGTTAATTCATCATTATCATATTCAGTTATTATTGTGTTAATCCTGACAGCTAGCCCAGACTGTCCCACACTCAGTGGACCCTGTTTTGTGAAGTATTAAAAATTTTCAGCTTCCAAAGGAGCTCACCCACTAGTCTGTTGGACTCATCCCTGCACTGACATCTCTCATTGCCTAGCCCAAGATTTCAGCTCTCATTCCTATGACAAGTTCAAAAAACAAGACATTTAGAAATAATATATGCTTTTAAAAAGATATTCCTGTAAGCAAAGGTTGCAAGATTAGGCTCTAGATTGTGCATGTATTAACAAGCACGTATGTGTCATTATTCTTGAAAATATGTATTTTGCACTGTATTAAAAAACAAGTTTTTATGATATACTCATTTTCAAATACTTATCAGCCAGGACTGTCAATAATCCTTATTTTGTTTCTTTGTAAAGTCTATGAGAGATATTCTTAAGAATGAAATTACTTTTGATTAAAAGGAGAAAAATAAATAAAATTAAGGAAGGGTGTGAAGAAACAGGCATAAAATAACGTTTGAAATTAAAAAATAACTTTTCTAGCCTAAATTGCTTGTGACTAAGTTGTTATTAAGTATTTCACACATTTTGGTATATGAGTTACAGCACTGTGCTTCAAGATTTTTTTATATATATATTTATTTTATAATTACTGACTTGTGATATATAACCTTGTTAACATTCTTAATATAATTACAGTTAAAATATGATGATGCTGAGATCATAAACCTGGCAGTGACTTATTCTGAGCTCTACTATATGTTCAGTGAAAATATGAACAGCAAACACCCTACAAACCTGAAGCAGTATACATTCTCTTTGCCAGAATCACATCCACATATTCAAATTAACTTGATGTGCAAACAAATGACAACAAGGTACAATAAAACCTAAGTTTTCACTCAGGTGTTATAGCATGTATGAATTCTAAGATATGATTTATATAACATCATTATTTTCATTTCACTATCTCTTGTAACCCCTAATGTTTTACTGTCTATGTAGATTTTTCCACCAACACAGAAATTTCTTTCATGAATGTCAACAAAAATATGAGGTACGTTTGCCACTGCTACCTCTGTAGAAATTGTATGGGCACTAAAAAACATCTAGAAGTTTTGCTCATGTGTTCCATTCTAATAATAATTTGTATGTTTGAGAATAAGTTTTTTTTTCTGCCTTTTAAATTAGGTATCTTGATTGAAGTATTTTCAGATAAGCAAATAACTCACTGTTTGACAGCCTTTATTATTTTAAAATTGCAGTTAGTGTAATTTAAAACAACTACTTACCTGTAAGAAAGAGTTATCCACATCTTTTTGTCTTGCATCTCTATGTTGACAATAAACATGCTGTTACTATAATCATTTGCAGGTGCACTCCGAGGAAAACAAAGCATAGGTATTCCCAGGACAGACAGAGGGAGCTGTATCTCCAGTTTTACTCTTTAAAGATAGCTATAAACAAAGTGTCAAGTTTATATTTGCAAACATGGTAAAAATACATTTTAAAAAATCTCCAGCTTGTTTTTGACTGAATATTACAACCAAACAAATTAGGCTTTAAAAGCATCAGCCAAAATATAATTTTCTGAAACATTAAGGTACAATGAAAACAGTTTTTCTTATAGCTGTATCTGTACAGTGAGAAATTCAGGCAGCCAAACACTTTATTTTATTTTATTTTATTTTATTTTATTTTATTTTATTTTATTTTATTTTATTTTATTTTATTTTATTTTATTTTAAGCTTAGACATCCCCATGAACAAATATTTGCCCCTCTTCCTAAGTATTGGAAAACATGGTATATCATCAGCAAAGTATGTCTAAAAGTATTAAATATGATGTTTAATAAAGTTGGATGGACAAGTATTACAGTGTTCTGAAAAAAAGAAAAGCCCTTCTCTCTCATTTATCCTAGGATTCACAAAACCATACAACTCTAACTGCAGAGGAGAAGAGAAAACATACATAACTAGATTAGAAGCATGTATGCCTTCCCTCTATTACTTCTGATTATGCACTAAAAACCATGCTCTACAACCATGTAGAGAGAATGAGCTACCTCACCACTGGTGCTTATCCTACATCAGGTAAAATTATATATATATATATATATATGCATATACATATATATATGAAATTTTATTTTTAAAATGATGTTAATTTATTCAACCTCACCATAAAGTGGATTTTTTTAAGGCGTTGACCTTTGCAGCTTATTTATTACAGTTTGATTAAACACATTTGTTTCTTCTATCTTTCATGGGTTGTGTGTGAAGGGCAGAACTTGTTCTACATTCATTTAAATTATTTTTCACGTTCACTAGAGCATCGCAGTTTTAATTAATCCACAAAATCCTGCGTAATTCTACTACATGTCAGGTGTAAAAAGGCCTCCACATTTGGTTGTAATTCTGAAAGACTTATAAATATAAAAGCATATTATTCCAAGCTAGCCATTGACATAAAAAAACTGCTATATGAATGAAAAATAAATAAATGCATGGATATATAAAGACAGAATGCCCCAGTCCACCCAACAGCATTCATGATCCTGGTGCAAACAGCCCTAATTTTACTAAAGAGCTTTCCCTGGAGAGATTTTGGCTGCACAAGAAAAGCAGATATGAACTCTTTATTACTTTTGCTAGAGATAAAGATGTTAGGTAGAATGGACAGCAACAAATTGGCTTGAGTTCAGTACTTTGCTGTTTATTCAAGTTCTTCTAATTTTTCACAAGTACGTATGTACTCTACACAATGATAGCTAATATCTCAGTTATTTTTAAACGTAAATTAATCAAATAAAACCACCAACAAGCTGTATCTCAGACGGCTTGCTGCAACCATCCTACCCCTGCATGTCTCCTTTCCTCAGGGCATACGTCCTCATGTTTCCACCCTCATGGCACTGTTATACTCTTTAGAGCATAAACTCTTTAATTAATACCATGTCTTCTCCAATATAAAGAGCAATATCATAGCAATTATTGTACGAATCATTAATAATAGTAGAAATGCTACTCTAGAAAGCAGAATGCAAAGACTTATACAACACTTGCTACTAAAGGATAGCCATTTGATAATAGTGGGTATATTGAAATAACTATTTTCTCCATTCACGCTACATTAAGACCCTTCTCCTTCAAAAATCTGTCAAATACCACAAAATGCATACAAAAACTGACATTTCCAACACACATCTTTCCCAGTCAATTGCCAATCTCAGTAGATGCAACTATAAAAGACTACTGAGAAATTACTCAACTACAGTAGATGTAAAAAGAAAATTAATTCCTTATATTACTTGAAGACAGTATGATTAGCCCTTCATATTCTTAAACAATGAAACTTATAATAATTCTTAGGAAACAATACTGAAATAATAATTGTCAGAGGGCCCTCATACAGATACACAGGTTTTAAATGCAGCTAATTTCTTAAACTTGATGCTTTTAAAAAGTACTTTTTATAGTATTTGTACTATAAAAACCTCACAGCATAACTGTGTCTGGTTTTCAAGACATTATTCTACATAAATCTCTTCTTTCGGTAGGTACTTTAGACTGCATGTCAACTTTGTACATTCTCTTGAGTAACCCATTAAATCAGATTTTTAAAATAACTTTAATATAAAGTACATTTAGAATGCACAGGAATAGTCTCATAGTTGGTTTTTGATCTTTTATTTTTTTCCCACACACTTCTGAGTCCTAATAAGAAAAGAGATATTCTAGCAATAAGCTCCGCACATACATATTGCTTGGCAACACCACCATCTTTACACAACTACTGTTTCATATTCTCTACAAATATTGAACATATTGGTCACTTCTGATCTTCCCATCACATACAATATTATGGTATTGCCACATTTTCTGTAAACATAGGCTACAGTATTTTGTTTAATTGGTTTCAGATATATGATCTTGCTTTTGATTGATTTAAAATTAATATTGCTCAGGTTTAATGGCATTTCTCAGAAATGATATATAATTTGTATCTTGATGGCATGATTTAGTTTTCATTAAGACTGTAATTTTCTACCAGATACCATCTCCTTCATACAAAAAATGTTTTTGGTTATGGTAAAAAAAAAAAAAAAAAAAAAAAAGTTTCCTAACATGTGCAACATACCACATTAGGAAAGTTCAACGTACGTTGGAAAAAAAATGAAGGCCTAATACCCTTCACGTAACAGAACTTCACCTACTAAACAGAAATGAAATGCCTAAAGATACAAGAATACTTTGTCTAAAAATAAACAGAAGTTTTTTTTTTTTTCTGTGAAAAAAAAAATCTGTTTTCAGTGAAGCAGAAATTAAATTCAAGGACTCTCCATATCTCAAGGCTGAAAGTGAGAAGACCCTGAGAAGAATGAAACAGATCCTGTACAGAGAAGAGCTCTGATTGATGCACTTCCATGGCTGTGCAACTCCAACCTAAAAGGATTTGCAACCTTCATCATCAAAGGTAAGGTCAGGTCTCCTACTCTTGAATCAGAAAATGAAGAAGTGCATTTACAACAACTGGTATACAGTAGTTTATCATAAGAATCTGTGTCTTTGAAATTAGATGTGGGAGGCGTGTTTTTTAAATATAGTTTTAAGCATAAGGAATTGTAATGTCTTCATATAGTTTCTGCAGATATTTACTTCTACAACTGGATGTTCTTGTCCTCACACGCGTTCCTTAACAGCACATAGCACTGCACTCTTTTAAGCGTATGGTAGAAGCATAATTTTTCCAACCTCCTATTGGAGTACATTTTAATATGGAATCTTAACTAAAAATAACTTTTGATATTTATATTTAATGCTTGAATGAAAAAATATCTATTTAAGGCAAGGTTTGTTGTCTCTACGGTGTCAGTAAATAATATTATTTGAAGTGGAATGCTGTATTTAATATTTAATAACACATATAATGAAAGCAGAGAGAATATTGAAATTTTGGAAGTGCCCATCATTCAACTGGTATTTCAGATTAGTGATCTATGTTATCATGATTTAGCTTTACCAATGAATTAAATAACAGTCAGGTATCAATATACTGTATATTATAGATGGTGAATTTAAATTTCAATTGTTTGTGTCAATATAATCCCAAACACTCCAGTGAAATAATCAACACAAAGAGGACGATGCTTGATGAAAATCAAGTCTGGAATGATCCAATCAGTGTTGTTTCAAAAGCTAGTGAAGTAATCATTTAGCTCAAAGTCAAAAGTTATGTTTTCTAATTCTATCAGCCAAGCTTCTGGTTCACCACAAACAAAGTCCTGCTACAGATCCGATTATCCAAATAAGGACTTTTTTTGTTTCCTTAAGAGGTAAGTCAGAGGTCAAAGAATATGAAACTTATGGTATTATCTGATCACCATTAACATACAAAAATAGCAAAACAATGGTCTTTTAAGACCTAAAGCTAAATTCAATTCATATTAACTTATATAAAAAATATATTACAAAACTAAATTACAAATTTTACTAGCTAGGATGGCATACAAATAGGAAACTGGTGGTAGTAGGCCATTTATTTTATAGGTAATTAAGTAGCACCTCTTAGTGAAATTTCATCAGGAAAGGAGAATACCACAGAAATCTCACAGTATCCTGTTTGTTGGGTTCATAGTAATTCCATCAACACACAGAAGTTCTACTGCATGGATGCACACAAGCACAGGTTGCAGGAAGAAATCCAAATTATCTAGTACAAATCTTCACGGTGCTTGCTCACTGCTTATAATGTCTAAATGCAATACAGTGACCTTTTACGTAGCTTTTTTTCCCAAGAACAATTCATTATTTAAAATCCATAAACATCAAATTACCAGGCTATCACTCAGATGTAAATATTTACTTATTAACAAAGGTAAGAGCTCATTCATAAATTCCTGGATTAGACATTACATAATGGTATCATTTTAATTAAGACATAGCTCCTAGCTACAAACATTCTGCAACAAATCAACAGACACAGAAATTTAAATATCATGAATTCTTAGGCTAGTTTAAAAACTTACTCTAGACTAAACCAGTAATCTGACTTAGTTTTGTGAAACCAACGCCCATAAAAACACCTCTTTCTTGTCTTTCTCAATCAACAATCAGAATTTAGTCTGTTACATCAGAGTTCTGAATTTAATCTAAAGGGAATGTTTTAACTACATCAAAACCATAGTTAAAAAAAAAAAACAACTTTAGTTTTTATGCTCTTTTAATAAATATGTCTTTTTGTTATAATTAGTGACACCCACTCATCTAACTTATTTTACCATTTGATATTACATCCCAATTAAAATGAAGCACAATGATAAGAAAAATGTTTTCTAACACCTTTATCCATTTTATTTTTTATTTTGATATTATCTGTCCAGGTAGCCTTCTGGAAAATGAAATTTTAGGAAATTATACAATTATATAATGATAAATTGTTTTAGAGTTTAATAGCAGCTCTTAGCTTGGCTGACCTCCCTCTTGGGTTTGTTTGATTATCTTTGGCCTGAGGGGTGAGAACTTTTTTCTGTATAAAAGTCCATTTTGAGTTGGGTTTTCCATGGGGAAATTCTTGTGAGTCATCTTCTTTGGAGGAATTTTTCAGAGCTTGTCTTATCTTCTGCCGTGAGCCAAGATTGTACTTTTCCGTCATGTCTATTCCATGAAGAAAACGTTTGATGATACGATCTTCTAGAGAATGAAATGAGAGGGCTACTAGGCGACCTCCAGGTTTTAGAAACTTCTCAGCTGTCTTCAGCCCTATAAAGAGCTCATGAAGCTCATCATTTACAAATATTCGCAGGCCTTGGAAAGTTTTGGTCGCAACATGTGTAGGTCTCTGAAGCAAGTCCTTTCGTGCATACAATGCTGATGCTGGAAAAGCACCTGTAATACATTTGAAAAGGTATATGTTAGCATTTTGTTGCTTCTACACTGCTAATCTGACATTAATCCACTCGTGCATGATGAATTGAAAGGAAAGCATACTTACAAAAGAACCCTGAGTAGTGAGCTTCCTTCTTTAAAAGATATATTTCCTGCTTTGAATCACTTTTAAAACCCTATTAAACTGAGCTGGCTTGCAGTTGAGTGTTGTTTTTTCCTATAGGAACTGCTTCCTTGAATGCTTCACAAAGTTAAAATGCAAAATGATAGCTGTAACCAAAGCAGGGAAAAATGAAGATGGGCTAGATAAATCCTATACCTTACAGCTCAGTATAATCAATGCCAATTAATTGTTTGAGGTGATTTGTTTTATGCTTTTAAGGCAAGGAAAAAAAAAGGTGGACACAAAATTTTAACATTTGCCTTCTACATTATTATGCACTTGCAAAAATAAAATGTATGTTTTACATTCAGTTACATACAAAATACAATGTTTATCTAGTGGCAATTATCTTTCAATTAATTACTGAAAGCTTAAAAGAGATGTCTTAGTTTGGAGATAATAATTCCTGACCATTATACCTGTGTTCCTTCAAATAATCACAAAAGAACCTTGAGAAAAATAGAAAATGCAACCGATATTGTTGATTTCTCACATGTTTATATAGCACAATGTGTCAAGGTATGAGTTTTTTGAAGAAAAATCACCACCTTAAATAATTTTGACTGGTGGCACAAAATTCCCTCCTCTTCTTTCCCCAAAGTCCCTCCAAGTTATGCAAGTCTCTTTAGAGAAAGAAATTTTCATGGAAACTTCAACATAGCATTATTTTACGTATTTTGTGCTTGAATCTTCATTATCAGAGTACAGAGAAAAGAATTAGAGATTTGATGGATCAAAGGAACTAAAGTGCAAAAGCCTTACAAGATCTGTGAAACCCGAGTAAACTTGTAATCTATTATGTAAGTGAATGCAGACATTTTATAGTGGCACATAAATGGAAACAAATATTTTTTGAAAAAAGAGAACCCATTAGAGATAAGGCAATTCATCTGGTATGTGTGTATTAAAATGCCTTAATACCATGCCAGTGCTAAACTACAACATAATAAGGCAATGGGTTTGAAAGGAATGCAGTTTAAACTCAAGTAATTGATATTCTGCATAGAGAAGTAAAATAAAAGAGCATGATACCTCTGAAATAAGTTGATTAAATTCACATTTACAAAAGTGATTGAAAAAAAAATAATAGAAATACCAAAGTTCTTCCATATTTTTGCCAGTATACTGGCACAAAACATTGTATTGGTGGAATTCTTCAGAATTTTCAAGGTGAGATTTTACTTATGTCAGAAAGTATATGTTCAACATCACAAACACAAGTGATCATCACTGTTAAGCAAAGGGAGAAGCCACTAATGATACATAAAATTAAATAATTATTAACTAAGTTATTATCATGTATGCGATGCATCTAAGGTGCATTTCTGCATACTCTATTTTCCCAGCCACATTCCTTCTCCTCTGACTCTAATGACAAAAATGCCTGAATTAATTGAAAAACCTCACCATAGCTGTTTCCTTCTTACTGCTGTCTGAATCCTTCAAGACAGAAGTGGCAGCAGGATGCACTTCTCCCAATGCACATTACTGCACAGGGATGTGTGGCTTAAACTCTGCTTCACAATTAAAATAGATTTAATCTCTGGGCACTTAGCTCCTCAATCAGGTCTGGACTCTAGGAAAAGTTACATTAGCTACCTACTGTCATTTCTGTCTTTGAGACCACCATGTTTTGTAACTTATATAAATCATAAAGGGATACTTACTGATGCCCTAAGAAACCAGCTTGTACTACCTAGCAAAATATCCATTTCCATATTTTTCATATATCTAAAAACAGGCTCTGATTTGAAAATGAAATGCTTCAAACCGCCACTGACTGCTATTTATGTGTGAAGAAAATCGTCTCTTCATGCATAACATAATGGCATGCTGTGCCATTATAAACAATTTTCTTTATACACTTAACCAACACCTACAAATACAAGTAATTTGCTCAGAACAGCAGTGTTTAAAATAAGTATGTAAAGTATCAAAAGAATACCACAGGACATGCGTATTTCCATAGCATTCACTAAGTGACTAAATCTACACAGCTTCATATTCTCCTTAAGCCCTGTCTTAGGTTTCATTTAGAATCGAATTTTTCTTCAGGAGAACTTCAAGTGGACACATCAGATACTTGGGTATTGGTTGGATTCAACTACAAAAGCCAATGATTCTTGACTAAAAATGACAGTTTGTGAAAACAATACCACACGAGTCTCTTCTTCCAAGCATACGTTTTCAAATAATGAAAACATACCTCTCCCTCCTTCCCCCTTCCAAAACCAAGCCTATTGCCACCATGTTCACTCTACTGAAAATACCTGTAACTGGAATGGAAAAGCAATGTTTCCATACAAAATATTTCCTACTAACAATCTAGTGAATTAGAAAGCAGTATGGTTGTTGATTTGTTTTTTTCTCCCTCCACTTCAACTGGTATTGTTCTACCAGCTTTATGCAGAACCTCCATTCTCTTGCCACCTGCTGAAAAATTTACAGTTGTGATGTCAAGAACATCAGTTTTACACTTTCAATTTTGGACTGTTACTATCGGGAGCTGGCGTTCACCTCTCAAAGCAGATCCACAGAGTTTTTAACTTATTAAAAATTCATATTTTTGCAGCCTAAGCATTTAAGCAGCCTAAGTACTTTCTAAAAAATAACGCTGTTTTTCTGTGGATAAGATATTTCTGATATTCTAAGAGTATTCCAGCTTCCAAAAGTATCACAGATACAAATAAAGCCAACCCACAAGAGTACAGCATGAAATCTGGGTACAAAACTGACTGTGCTTATTTATTGATTGGAAGCCTAGAATGAGAACTGTTATTTAAATTTCCACGGCCAATCTCACTGGAACTTTAGTAAAATACTGAGTTTTATGTTGTATATCATGTATGTAAAGTAAACTGGAAAAGTGAGTCCTTGTAGCACACATTTATGAGAAACTCTGAAGAAAATTAAATAAAAACCCTAATATATTCTGCAAGTATAATAAAACCTTACACGCCTCAGTTGAATGTGAGAAAACAGCACAGGACATATATAATGGTACCGAATACTGGTAAAGGATACCTTACCACTGGTAAAGGATACACCAGGAAACTGGTATAGAAATTCAGACACTGCAGTTTTATGCAACCAAAAAGACTAACTAAAACCAAAATGTCTTCAAGTTCAATGGCCTATTGGTCTGTCTTTAGAGACTGCTATTAACTACTAAATGTAATTTGTGATAGGGATTTCTGTTATATGGGCCTTCATCTTTTTATTAAAGTCAGTAGATATAACCTATGTGATAGGGGTGAAAAATATTTCTACCCCACTCTTAGCCCTCTGGTATAGTTAAATAGAAACCTACTTGTGCTTACTGATGAGGCACAAAATCCAGCCCCCTCCAATTGTTGCAACAGTAAAAGAAAATCCTTCCTGGTAACAGGCTGTGCAATGTACAAAAACATATATATATAAATCTTTACGGGAAGCTTATAAAATGAATTTCATTCATAAAAACACCATGCTTCCGGCTAGATGACTGGTTTGAAATCCCAGAGAGAGAAATTATCATTTTCAGTTTTGGGATGCCCTTATGCTACTTACACTTTTAAAAATCTAATAGATTCACAAGTTAAAATGTATTGAAATTCTTAAGCTTGTGAATGAAATTAGCAACGTGCTGTGCCTGTCAATATGAACTATTAAAGTCTCCAGAGTGTACAAGAGTGGGAGAGTTTAAAAATTAATTCAGATCGTGCACCTGTTTGCAGGAATCCGTCTGTTGAATTAGCATTGCATTTAATAAGTTTCTGTGACGCAACTAATGTCCTTTTGTCTAGGCTCCCTCAGTACAGTGTTAATTCACACCCATCTGAATTTCAGGCAATATTACAAATTCCAAACTGATAATTAAAGTATATCAGTGTGGAACAATCTGAACAAGACTGACTTTAACCATTAAAATTTTTTAAACTTTTCACGATTCTTTAGTATCTCACCATCAATTCCTTTCAAGTCCAAATGACTACATAGTCTCGAAATGACCTGTTAACAGATAACATATTTCAATGCCATTGAGAAAAATTAAACTGTGAAAACAAATGAATAGATGACAAGGTATATTACCCACTAGAAGGAAAAATTGAGAAGCAGTACAGAAAAAAACAAAATTACAGTCTAAAGAATTTCACTATTTCTAACCAGTTTTCCTGCACATCCAGTTAATACTATCATTTCACAACAGAACTCAATGAGCTTCAGCAATAGCCATCAGGAAGTACTTCTTAATTGACTTCTACACATCTATTCACAGATCTTCAGTAGAGAACCACTGATCTTTAGTATTTACACAGTGTTCATCATTACAGATAGCTGCGTGAAAATTGTAAACAGTGAGTAGAGTTTGACTGAGCTACAGGAAGAGACGATATTCGCATCAGTGAATTTAAAAAAAAAAATCTTCCTTTCCCCCTGTGTAAATTGCAGGATCCACAGCTTACTCAGAGATCTCCTTATTTAAATGGCTCAAAAGCATTTTGGAAAACATTTAGAAAAAAATAAGCCAAACTTTTTTTTTTTTTTTTTTTTTTTGGAGGACTTTATTCAATGGCACGGTAAATTGAGATGACTTTCAGGCTTTATGCCAAGAGTTAGAAGGAATTATTTCATTGAATTGGAACAAAAGACTTTTGTTTAACTAAGAAATCACTTGGATACCTGAGTTAGCCCTAAGGTGTTGTAGGCAATCTTGACATACTAATCTATTTATAATTTTTTCAAGCTGTACCTTAAAACTTTAACTTTCTCCAATGAAAACTTTAGAAATGTCTGAATGATCTCTAACTGTTGTAGAGCCTTTTGTTTTGCTTAGTTTTGTCATTCTTATCTCCCAATCAATTAACAGCAGCAATACACCTTCTAACTCTCTTTATTGTTGTTTCCTGGATAGCATTTCCCTTTTCCATTCCAGGCTAGTCCAAATCTAACTTGGATTCATTGGGATTCTGGTTATCAGCTGGAACTTACCACAGAAGTTTAGAGTTCTGGAAAATCTTAAGCCATATTAAACCATAAGATTTTAGAGAAATATGGATAATATGTGAATTTTCAGATACTCACATCAGCAAAGAAAAAGATACAGATATCCAGCCTCATTGGCTAGATTGTTTACATGTTTTCTAGCTATCTAGCCACAGGCAAAAGAAATGATCCTGTTCTGGAGAAAAAAATATGTTCTTATAGAGTCTGTAAAGTCTAAAATGCAAGATTTTATTTTTCTAATGAATATATATACATGTATACATATATTTTTAAGGACTTGACATTTAAGTAATAAGTCATAGAGTTTACTCTGCTTAAATCCTGAATTAGTCAGGGCTTTTTTGTTCTGTCCTACCAAGAGAATTCTGTAGCTGTGATCTCTGGCCCTGTAGCTATGACTTACCTCAATAACTTCATGGATGTAAATTTGTAGTAGAAAATATACTGATGATAAATTGAACAAAATCTATTATATTTACCAGAAATTTTCTTAACATATTATCTGTTCAAGAACTAGCAAGGATCCACCCTTGAGCTCCTTTACAGAGAAATCAGATTAAAACTGTAAGAAGTTCTACCCAAACGGGGATAAGTATAATAGTCCTAAAATTGTTTTAACTACTTGCATACTTCAAAAAAGCACACAAAATACATATTTACTGTCTTAGCAGATATATGTTGGATTCATTTTTTTTGGCATGTGTCTTATCTGATGCATTCCTGATTCACATATCAAGCTGCTCTTCAAATACATCAGAGTTTAAAGTGAGAACAAAAATCTCCTGTTGTTTTCACAGAAAGTGACCGTTAGGCGATGACTCACATGCAACCCATTAAACGTGAAGGGATCTTTGATCAATCTCTTTTTTACACTAATAATTTTATTTTTCTTGAATCCAAGCTAGTTGGCAGAATTATTTTTGAGGTTACCATACTGCTTGTTTACAGCGTAGAACACATTACATCTTTAGCATAGCAACATGGCTGCTTTAATCTCAATAATGGTATATTTTTTATCAATAGTTGTTTCAAAGAGCATGAGATACATCTGACAAAACTAAATTATTACTTCATAAAGTTGATGATAATGATCATTTTAGAAATGCAAATTCTCAGGTTTTATTAAAGACTCATATATTCTTTAATATTATTTATTCCCCACATTCATTACCCCTACTACACATTTACAACAGGGGCTTATTGCAAGCAGTGTCTTCAGGTCCTGTAATCATATCAGCTAGACTTTGGGCCTGGTTTAAAGTGGACATTTTGCTCAAGTATCCTGGTTTATACAACTCAAAGCCTTTTAATTTCTTTGTGATCCTAAAGCCATTAAAAGTAAGTCCCTATTAAACTTAAGCTCTTAAGGTAGGCAATTATCTATCACTATATATCACAATTATTAGTCACTGTTCTATTAGTTATCAATAATTATATTTTTTAAATTAAAGTTACAGTTTAAGTAGAATTTAATAGAATAGTTTAGTTGGAAGCACCCTACAAAGATCATCTAGTCCAACTGCTTGACCAGTTCAGTGCTAACCAAAAGTTAAGGCATATTGTTAAGGTTATTATCCAAATTCCTCTTGAATGCCGACAGGCACAGCACATTAACCACTTGACTAGGAAGCCTTTTCCAGTATTTGACCACCCTCACGATGAAGACATTTTTCCTAATGTTCAGTTTGAAGCTCCCCTGGAGCAGCTTTGCATTGTTCTTGTGCTTCCTGTTATCGATCACCAGGGAGAAGAGATCGGCACCTCCCTCTCCATTTCCTCTCCTCAGGAAGAATACACAGTTTTATGAAAACAATATAGTTTTAAAGGCTTTTATGCAGATAGGACTTGTAACACTAATCTTTACTAAATGTTAAATTCGGATAGCCATTTTAAAGGTTAAAGGAGTCAACAATTTAGGGCATTTTGTGACGAGACCCAGTCATTTTCATTTCTTGGTTAAAAAATAAATAAATAAATAAATAGATTAAAAACAGCCTTATATGTTATATTGTTAAGGCACAGTGAAAGTATCTTATTTTTTTGCTGGAAAATTTTCACTCGAGAACACAAATGTGAAGGTTCTCGATGTGAGCACAGCTCCTGTCTAACTAGATTTTGTTCAAGTTGTTTACAGTGAAGAGCAAGTAAGATGAAGTGTTTCAATAGGCGCTTCAGGCTGATCTAGTTGGCATTCACAAGGTGAAGCAAGCTACGTATTGCTTTACTTTTTGCTTCCTCATTCTTTAAGCAGGGAGATTGAATCTAATTTCATTCATAACTGGAAACTGCCATAGTACTTCCCCTCAAAATATTAAAATGTAGAAATTTAAAACAAAGAGATGCATATGACGTATCTATTTGAATGCTTATCAATAGCTGGGACAAAGAATTCCCTAGGCTGCTGTCATTCTGTGTTTCAACTTCGTTGACAAAATGATAAATCACTTCATGTAAAATCTATTATTAAGCTAATCGGTGAAATACAGTATAAGAAGTGGGATCTTATGGGGGGAAAAAAAGGAGAGCTGACATCAGAGCAGAATAGGCAGGATTAGATCCTGCATGATTTCAAGTACAAATAGATCCCTCTGGGACTTTGGGGATTAATATTTTTTCTCTCTCAGCCACTGTGAAGAATTAATGAGGGTACCTGCAACAATGCTTGCAAGCTGCTGAGTTCTGGTGATGGGATATATGCTGCGTGCCTGAACGATGGCTGAAGCGATTTTCTTGGCGTGCCTCTCCTCCCCGTATGTTCTCAGGATGGACGCAAGTGCCTGTTGATCTAAAGCATTCACAACATCAGCAGCAGTGGGCATGTCAGGGTACCTACGCACAAGAAGAGCCAATTAGTTCACTGACGTCAGTTTTCATTGACAAGAGGTGAAGCTTCATAGCATTGAGACATAAAGTCAAACACACACACTGCATACAAGTGCCTTTGAGGTTTTCAAGTAAGAGACAGCAACCCTATGAAAACAGATCTCGTTTGTACCTTTTAAATCCTATTTCTAGCAACTTTAAATAGTTTGTTCCTTAACATCAATTAAAACAGCTGAAACTTCTAAGTACAATCATAAACTATGCCTAATGAGTTGACAGGAATAAATACATGTCAGTATCACATTAAAATGGAAATGCTGTGTGACTGTTCCTATTTAGACATCTTTAGAATATAAACTTACCCCTTATGGGTTTATTTAGTCACCTTGCATTATATGTTGTTTTTTATTTGGAACTGATTTCAAAGATATTTTCTTTCACATCTCCTGCTATGAAAACAACTGCTTATGAAAATAGTTTAACTTTACTTTTCACTAAAAGATGTAAGAACTTATACCCAAACGTTGTTTTGAGAGAATTCAAATGACATAATATTGCAAATGAAAGGAACTGTTAGAATTGAAATGGTATAAGTCGTACATATTAATTTATTTTTAAATTGTGTCCTTATGCTATTGAAACAGTTCACAGAAGTGTTTCAGATCTGTGTTGTCACAGATCACAGAAGTGTTTACTAATGTGGAGAAAACATATAACCTACTTAATAAATTCTCTTCTAAAAAGGCACTAACGTGCAGAATATTTTTCAGGCATTCATTACTCTCCTGCAGTATCTTATAAAAGATAACAAAACTTAGAAATCAGAGGCAAGGAGTACCATAGCAACAACTGTAGCAGAAGGCTTTTGTTATGCCACAGGTAGCCTTTGTTCTTATATACAGTTATACATATGTATCCTCATGATGCAAATACAAGCCACAAGTTCAGACTTTGGAGATCAGAGGGCTCAATCCCAGTACGATCACGTGAGCTTTTTATACAAAACTGGAAAAAGGCAGCATCATGAAATTTGCTGTGTTAAGACTGAAATTTTAATGTGTTAAGACAATTGCTTAGAAACAGAGGCTTCCACAGTCTTCACATAGGCTCTATGTGAACAACAAAAGTCCAAATGACATTTCTTAAGACTACAGGTTCATCAAAACACAAGGCAAAGAAATGTTCATTCTCTTAGTAATGCATTATACAATTACTGCCATCATCTACAAAACACAGATCTTTGTCTTTTCACATGAAAATCGCAATGCTATATTAGGCATATATTAGGCTGTTAAAAGACGAAAACTGCTGCATAAGTAGAAAGTAACATTATGCCATTGAATTTCATGCTTTTCAATGAACTCAACACCAATTCTGATCATTTAAATAGAGATTATTTATTTAGCAATTGATAAATTGACAATTAAGTAAGCCTCACGTGCCTCATACACAATGTGAAAGGAAACTTCCAAGACTACTAAGGCAAGCTTGCAATACTTAACGGATTTTAATTGGCAGGTGTCATGAATGGCATTTCTGGTTGCTTTTTTGTTTTGTTTTGATTTTTTTAAAAGTTACTTTATATTCCTTTTACAGAGAAGTAACTGGGTCAGATGGCCATTGCAGAAGGGAGAGAAGTTGCTTCTTCCCTGACAGAGCAACCAAACACAGTCAAGCAGACATTCCACAAACAGAAAGTGCAGCAAAAAAGGAAAGTGATTGCAGTAAAGAATTGTCAGCCTGCAGATTACATTGTCAGAAAAACTGCAAAAATAGAAGGAAGACAACAGGCCTCAACTTAAAAAAGTCATGGAAGGTTTCATAGGAACCATGTAGACCATACAGGTCTTGGGGCAACCCAGCCAGACATTGAAGAGAGAAACACTATATTTAACAATCTGCCTTTTGCACTCACTTCCCAATTAAGGGAAAAAGAAATTCTAATTAATATTCTTTTTTTTTAAAGCCTCCAATCTTCCTTGTGAAATTCAATATGGAAAGAGAACTAGGAAATATACCTCAAGGCTCTAGGTAACTCGGTGTCCTGTCAACATATTTGGCAGCTCTTTTTGCTCTCCACAATGTTATCAGAAATATATGTCTTACAGTAAAAACTGTCCCTGTAACTGTATACCATATACACCAAAAATGTAAAATTTTATTGATAGAGTTAAGAAAACATTATTGGTTTAATTAATTTAATCATCACTGTAACATTCGTCTTATCTAAAGAAGAAAAAGAACATAACCAGGATTTTAAGTTTAAGGCTGAAAAAAAAAAACCTTTGTGGCATAAGATATATAGTATATTTGTGCAAAATTAGACATTGTTTTATAACGGCCATTCTCTAGCTTAAAAGGAAATGACATGCACACGTACCTGTCACCATCCATCCTCATGTCCAGAGGTCCATCCTTCTGCAGGGAAAAACCTCTTTCAGGTGTATCAAATTGCATAGAAGAACAGCCAGCATCCAAGAGAACTCCATCTAGAGTCCCTGGCTCAACTCCAGATGAGATTAACAAAGCCTCTGACTGGCTAAACTGTCCTAGAAGAGCTCGAATCTGTTTCCTGTAAGAAAATCACAAATAAAAAGCCTCAATTTTAACAGTGCAGTGCTCTCCTCTTGTACAGCAGGAATTAGATAGTAATGCTCACTTGTCTCTTAAGCAATGGGACTATTCCCAAAGTAATGGTTTAGGTACATTTCACATGCCAGCATGCAGAACCATCCAACCCACTTATCAGTAGCTACTTAAGTTTGTCTTCCTTCCTGCTTAATCTCAAAGTACTCTAAATGCTCACAAGAAAATCATAGAACTGACTTCAGTTTCATTTCTCAACATGGGGGAAATCAAAGTGACATCTTCAACATTTGATGAGAATGCTCTGACCACCAGGGAATCTCCTGCTCTGGGCATGACCCTTAGTTAAGTGCAGAAAAGAAGGTACGTTTCTTGGACCTACATGAAACACTGACAAGACCGAATATGACTGCCCAGCCTTGTGGTTAATGCTTATTTGCTAGGAAAAAATCCTTGGTTCTTGATGTGGGACAAACACTTGTTTTTAGGGAACATGTTGATTCAAAAATAGTTAGGCAAAATTAGGTGCACTGGATCATAAGCAGAGAAAACATTTCAGCATAGGCACCTGAACACTGGTTAGAGCAGAGCTTTATGTATGTTTTTGTGCTTTTCATTCTTTTTTCTTAACCTTTAAGGTGTTTCTTGCTTAATATTTCTGTACTGGAGAAAGTCAAAAGAAAAAATATCTCTGAGGTGCCCGTTTCTTTCTTGCAAGTGTGTCTAAGCATGTGCTTTTGATTCTGGTCTATTATAAGGTGACCTACAATTAAACCACTGCTTTACTCATACATTGTCAAAAAAAACAATTTCACAAAGATTTAAGAATGTTAACCAGTATGCTGCTGCACTTTTAATCAGTACCAGGAAAAAAAAAAAAAGGCGAAAAAAACAAACCAACCAACGCACTGACCGAATATATTTCTGCCCCTAAAAAGAAGCCACTGACTCCACATCAGAGTTTTGGTAATAGTTTGAGGACCTATTGTTCCTCAGCCCCATGGACTAGAGTTGCAATTATTATAAGGCCAGCTAAGTTAACTCATATCATTGTCAGAGTTCCATGGGTGGTAGAACGGATGGAGAAGCTCAATTCTTTGCTACAAAAGAACAGCTGCCTGCATCTCTTTTGGGATGTCAACATTACTGTTATTTTGGAAAACAAACAAACAAACAAAAACAACCAACACACTTTTTCAAAAAATCAGCTTCAGTCTAATCCTTCTTTCAGGTCAGTTTAAGATCAACACAACTGGCGTTATGACAACCTAGTTGACTCCAGAGACTACTGTTTTAAGAGAGTGCATGAACAGAGAATCAGAAGTACTTCTGCACACATCCAATTGGAATAAGAATACGCTATGAAGGAAAAAAGAGAAAACATTTAGCTCAAATGAAGAAGCTATGAGCACACAACCATATGGAAGAACATTTAGGTATATAGTGGTATCCTCGTTAGAGTAGAAGGAATTAACTTAATATCGAATATCAGCTGGGAAATACCTTGAATGAATGAATTTCATGAGGGATATCATGATCACACATGCAAACGTCTGAATTGACTACTGCCCAGTACATAATTAAATTCAACTATTCAGCTGAACTAACAGTTCCTAAAAAGCACTACTATCTACTTAAAATAGTTTAATTTTCGCTAAATAGTTACAGCTCTGAGACTACATTTCCCTTCAATAAAATACAAGGAATTTTCTTGAAAATCTGCACTTTGTCCAACATAGCAGTGTTTCTAACTTTGTAACTTGAATGAAGAAATGAACTTCACAATTCTGTATGTGAGAGATGAAAACGAATGAGATCTGGAAAAAAATATAAATTGCCATTGTCTAGTTCCTCTGACAGTAGTCCATATTGGCAGCTATGAAACAGTGCTGTATTGTGCTACTAAACATTCTGAAAAATTATTTTGAACTATATTCATATAGAAATGCTAGAAATTTTATTATATTTCTTTAAAGAAATCATGCATATGTGGACTGCCAATCCTTTGTGATTAGGAAAAGGTAATTAAACGGGCATATTTGATTTAAGTTGAAATTTACGATTTGGGAGATAGATGCTTCATCTGGAAAATGTTTTAGTGTTCACAAAGAAAGACAGGGAAAAAAAAAAAAAAAAGATTGACATTTTGATGTCAGCCTTCAGCTGCATGAAAATATACCCTCCTGTTTGTTATACACTTCATTTTGTATCAATAGTGGATAGAGGTCTCTTGGTTAATTTAAATCTTTACTAAAAGCAGATGCCTTTCATGAGATTATAATGACTATATTAAAACAACAAGTCAGTTCTCTGAATTCCTTTTACCTTGCGAATCCAAAGAAACAACTTTAAACACCTTGGGTATCTCAAAACATTTAATTACTCAAACCAAGTACACAGGTATGAGCAATCATTTATTACCTTATGAAAACAAAAACAGATACCAGCTCTTTTTATCCATAGGATGGTAACAATGATGATAGTAATGATAAGGACTAATCTATTAGATGATGAACATGATATTTATTTAAAGAACAGTATTTCATCAAGCAATGAGAAGCATTTATTTGAACATAATAAAGTTCTTCCCTTGTCTACCATGCCTCTGTTCAAATCATAACTGTTATGCACAATTTTTTCCAAAAATGTTTGAATTTGTCAACTCCTTCTACCTTCACATTTTTGTTCACATAGCCTGTAAGTTTTATTTCCAAAATAGCCTCAAATAAATATTCAAACAAATAAAACTGCATACCCTACTCTAAGAAGTGTTTCCTACAGTCATGGACCTTTGGCTCTCCCAAGGAATGTGGAAATTCTTTACACTTTTTTTTTTTTTTGCTTTTTTCTCCAGTGGTCCGATGTTTTGTTTGTACATTAGTGGATTTATGTTCCATGACCACACTTACCTAGAGTGCAAATCTGTCCATTATCCCCTTTGTCTTAATATACTGCAAAAACAATGCTTACTGGAAATAGCAGGAAAGGTAAAATAAGGAACATCCCTAAGTATCAGATGAAAGTTCATGCTTAAGAAGCCGGATAAAAGTATGCATATCCAAACATTACAGACCAAGACTGAATCACACAATCATCTAGGTTGGAAGAGACCTCCAAGATCACTGAGTCCAACCTCTAACCTAACACTAATAAGTCCTCCACTGAACCATATCACTAAGCTCTACATCTAAACGCCTTTTAAAGACCTCTGGGGATGGTGACTCCACCACTTTCCTGGGCAGCCTATTCCAATGCCTAAGAACCCTTTCAGTAAAGAAGTTCTTCCTAATACCCAACCTAACCTCCCCTGGTGCAACTTTAGCCCATTCCCCCTTGTCCTGTCACCAGGCATGTGAATGGAGTGGGGGAGATTGCAGGTAGTCTTGGGGATACTAAAAAAAGCTGTCAAGACAAGGATCACAAAGAGAACATTTTAAGCATTGTAGGTGATCTTAGAAGGTTATGGTCTAACTAAAACCAATTGTCTCTTGCTTAAGAGAAAAATATTTAAACTTGGTACTTGAACACCACTTTACATATTCCAAGTGTTTTAGAAACGTAAAACCACTATGAAGAGCTTGTAACTCCAACGTACAAATGGAGAAATAAGATGTAAAAGGTTTAACACTGAGTGACTTGAATATATTTAGAAAGCAAAGACAATTAGATTGTGGTTTGAGGATGTAAAAAGCACACAATACTCATCATTTTTTAATATTTTTTTTTTAAGCATAATTGTAAATTTTGGTAAATTTTCAACTGTTGCCATCAAGCAGTCTTCTCAAAATATTCAGCATGCTCATTCTCCAAGAATGTAAAGGAACACTGGGGACACGTGGACAACCTAAGTCAATTTTAAAAATAATATAAAGTTATTTCATCTGCTACGTAAGTTCTTGGGGGCCCTAATGGATTTTGTTGCATAACAACCTCAAGAGCTTTCAGGTTTCTTGTACTGTTTGCAATAGTTTAAAAATAAGACACAACCTCAGGTTCAAGACCCTTTGTTCAGATCATAACACAGTATTTTATTATTATTTATACTATGACACATAGCATTGTAATTTTGACAGACGGTACTGGATTCACAGTTCTCATTTTTATGAAAGAACCAAATCAGAAAGAGAGAAGAGTTCAAAGACTAATGTATTCCAGGCTCTTTTGCTTTCAGTTAATCTCTGGCATTTTACAATGCTTCATAAAAATATTTCTTATTTCACTCAACTGAGAGGGATGTACACAGAAGAAAAAGTAAAGCATGAATATAACTTTTACAAAATAAACAGAGAAAATCTTTTCTCATATCTAGTTTCTCTGAGTTGTCACAGAGGTTGCTGTGACATCAATCACAAGTAATTTCACAGAAAACCGTGATTACGCTTTCATGGTGCTTCAGCAGTTTTTTATGTGCATATAACAATACTTGCTCTTGATCTTTCACCATTGCTACCCTTACAAATTCTACGTATGAATACACACAATGTCAGGAAGTGATGAACCCTTGCCAGCAGCAAAAGCTACCGTCTACTCAACCAGAGTAAATGGTTTCTTTGAGAGAACTGAAAATAAATAAATAAATAGACTTTTCAGCTAACTCTTGTCAATGCACATCAGTTGAGAAGACCAGTCTGGTACTTTAATTTACTAATTCCACTGAGACTGTCAGCAGGGGTACCAATTAGCACCAGCTGTCATGAGGACATTGGTACAGACCTGGTTTGATAGCATTGACTCACTTCACCTAGGTCACTCAGCAGCTGTCAGACAACTGTGAGTGACTTCTCCTCACTGCTGCTCTGAACCAGACACAGAAGCAAAAGACAAAGCACAGCATTTGTAAATACCTGGAACTTTCACCATCCCACCTAGGAATTGTTATGAGTGTTACTCTGCTTCAGTGCAACCCCCCTCTCTGTATATGTATCTCTATATTCTCTAAAAAAACTTTATACGTGTATTACCTTTAGCAAATGGAAGTTGTTCATG